AAATAAAATGAATATGATGCAAATGGACCCAAGTAAAATCCCCTGATGCAACAACTCCGGTAGCGGGTCCCATACGAGATCGTCCGGCCCGAAAAAAATGAAAAATGTCGAAAATTGGAAATATCACAATCTACCCTCCTTAAAGAGATTTCATCCTCGAAATCTACCCTCCTTATGAAGAGAGCCCACAGCTACACACTTTTCAAGAACGCCTCACAAAACCCTAAAACCATGAACTCACCAACATTATTGCCTTTGACACCGGACGTCACCAAGCAATCACACACCATTGCCACTAAAACCCAATGCGGGTACTCCTCTCTCATTTCATCATAACATAAGACCAACTAAGCTCTACGCCCGACTCAAAACGAATATCAATCTACTCTACACAGTCACAAAAGACTCTAAAGCCCGAGACAAGAACAGTCACCAGACCACCAAGAAGACAATATTTAACCTCAACACATCCTTTAAAAGACACACTGAACCCCAAATAAGGAATCCTGTCCATCACTTAATCAATCTCAATTCTAATCTACACATCCTTGATAGACCAAACAGTTGCTATCTAATACGTAGCCACACCACCACATAACCGTACCAATGACTACTAATCACATTATATGATAATCATTACTCTTAACAACTTCATAATGATTAAACAATGAATCTCCCAATGATGGCATAAACATTAGTCACCGAAATAATAAAGTGCACTATCCCGTACTCAGGACACAATACCTCAAAACAAGATCTTCAATAATCAATTATTGTACCACAAACCCCTTTTTATTGGACACTTGGTCTTACCTAGCACACCTCGTCACCCGAGACAGACTACCTGAATCCACACCACTACACTGACACATTGCGCAATACTGTACTCTCACTGTTCCTGACAAACTAAAACAATCATGGACCTTTGACCCGACATTGTGCATTCTCATCATCGATCCGATCTCAACATAGACGTCGTTCCTGTCCTCGGGTCTAAACCTCAAATACAATCTTACACAGTCCACAAAACAACAATGAGATCCACTCACTATCAACCCATCGCTATACGTAACCTCAACAACCAAGAAATCACCTACCAACTTTAAGAATCTCAATCATGCCTTAATCACACATTTATAACAAGTTAAAAGCAACACGACACTAAACATCACAACCATTAACCCGTACAAAAGATTTCTAGTTTTCTCGTAACACCCCACTAGATAATCAACTTCACAGTATCATTCGATTCAATTCTTACCTCTTTAGAATACACAATACACCTGTCTCATGCCTGAAACCTCAAAACTAAAGTCAATCACTCCTATTATTCCTCAATGAAATCACACATTCTCTCTCTCTAGTTGCTTAGCACTCAAACAATACCAACACTTGTCCTCAAGACACTACTCGAATTAGACGCCTATAAAAACATCCGAGACATGATTCGTATCATATTACCTAACCATCCTCAAACTTACAATTCACGGCACATCCCTAGCCATCACCGCTAGTACCAGACACCGAAAACATACAATCCCTATTCGGCAACCCGCGTCTCACACACCACCTGTCAAAAACACTCTCAGAACAAGCACCATCAAAACCAAAGGCTCCACCTTCCTCCATGGAAGTGAGTCAACCTATTCAACCAAACCTTACCGGTGAATTTTAACAGCGCAACAAACTATACCCAGGTCCGTCTATCCGCAGACGCACACAACACCTAGATGAAAGACAATATATACGAAAAACGACGTCCTTGCTAGGACTAGAATAAATGGGAAGGGTAACGAACCTAACTCTCATAAGAGACGAAGACGAACAACTCGCACCTGAATGAACCAGACACCCTATCACACACTACTCACCAATCGTCCAACCCTGGACACCCAATCTCACCTGAGATAAGACGAACTTCCTAGGCACAAAAATGAGAACCAACTGGAAACACATACAGGACTATGACCTCAATTCTAGGCGGCCTTGCCACTAACGAACCGTCACACACTATTAACACGAAAACCTCGCATATGGCACTCTGCAACACCCATGCTAACCCAAACCAATCAGGTCCACACCACCCCTTCATCAAGTATAAAGATACAACACTAGAAATAATCATAGCCCTTCGGACACTGCGTCCCGTCACTCCCAAATGACAACCCATATGCCATAAAATGACACTTTACCACCCATTCCATCTATTCCTTCTAGATGATACTGCCTCGATCACCATGCACACAAGACTCGTGACCTCAATCGCAACAACCCATTAACTCGTCAAAAGAAAAAGGTGCCGGATCCTCACTAGCTCTAAAAGGCTAAATAGTCCACAATAGCCTCGACTAGCGCACAATCCCAGCACCTACCTGATAACACACAACAAACAACTCACAATCTCTAACCCATTCTTGGATCATACCAGAAACCATTCTGCTCATCGATATTAAACATCATGCCATAACTGTAACGACCAAGCTCCTCATGGATCCGGATCATTATACGGGTCCTAACCCGGCCCAAAAGCATCCAAGGGTAAAAAGGTAATTTCACGTTAAAATTAAATGTCGAGGTCCAAAAAGAGCAAGATGGTAATTTATCATAATTCAATAAATTGAGACTCAAGGGTACAACGGTCATTAACTTGTATCACATAGTAAAAAAAATAAGGTTTGGGGCAATATAGTCCTTTCGGGGGTTAAAATATAATTATCCTACTTTATTGGGTCATAATGTAATTACTTGCAACATCAATTGGGTACCAAGTGTAATTTAAGAACTTAAATTGGCAATTACATAAAAAGACAGAACCGGTCGACGTATATACCTTATACGTCGACTAGTTTGGGTGATGAACAGTGGGAAACCCACTGCCATGATACCGGTCGACGTATGGGGAGCTATACGTCGACTGGTTTGGGATCAGGATACCGGTCGACGTATGGGATGCCATACGTCGACTGGTTTGGGACGTCAACAACTCAAACATATACTGTGAAGATACCGATCGACTGGTTTGGGAAACTGTACGTCGACCGGTTCTAGAAAATCTTCACTCCCACTTTCCACTGTCCTGTGTAACCCCTATACACCAACTTTTGATCGTTCAACCACCCACGTCACAACAGTTATGTGCAAAATTAATACATTTCAACAATAAATTCGAGTACAACAACCACGTTATTAACGTAATTTACCACACGTTACTAAAATACACTAGAGGATTTAGTGTAATTAAAAGTTAATTACATTTTAACATCAAATAAAACTACAACAACCATCAACAACATGAATCACCACACGTTACTTAAATACACAAAAGGCTTATGTTTGAATAAAACTTAATTACATTATCCAATGGCCAACATTTGCAAACTTATTTACATTCTCCAAAAACTATGATTATATATGAAATGGCCGAATACAACATAGCAAAAATCATCTTCTAATAACTTTCAATTTTGAGATGGATTGGCATCCGCCGGTTCTTTTCCAAGACCTGAAAAAAAAGATATATAAAGTAGGGTGAGCTAAATGCTCAGTAGGTGACACTTAAGATATGCGTCTTGGGTCCCCGTGAATCTAATCAAAGCATAGGCCAATGGGAAATAGGGAGCATACAACATAGGGAATTAATACAACATTCCAACCAAATTCGAATACAAAGAATGTAATGCCGTGGAATGCGAATGCATGCCAATGTCACTCCCCATTTTAATTATCAAAATCATCACTTTCAACTGTTAATACAGCCCGCCCTTTGGTGACCCCGCCGCGACACCAGAGGAGGATTGACTAGTATCCCTGACCCTTGGTAACCCCGCGGCGTCATTATGGGGCCCAGCTAGCTTAACCACGCTAGGGCGACTCCCTAGTCTCCTCTAGGCTATATTAACCTCCGGCCCGTTGGTAACCCCGCAGCGACCGGGTTTGCATAAAACCATTTTATCCAAAACACTTCCCCGAAATTCCCAATTTCATTTAAAAACAAATTTCTCCCGTTCATGCAACCCAATGGTACATGTATGCACATATATTTCATACTTTCAATATTATGGCATTTAAAGAATTACAACACCCAATCAAACATATATCATGTTCCACATTTCTAGAAAGGTCATCAACATAATAAACACAACAAAGCATCATCTAGACATACTTTTTACATAGAACAAGTCATATTCAAGATTGTGAAATTCTCTAGACATCACTTACACAACATTAAAACAATTAATTCTCAATTTAAGCATGTTTATTATACAAAGAAGATAAAATTCACAAAAGAGCAAGAACATCATGAATTAAGGGTCCTTACCTCAAGTTTGCACCAAAATCCTAAAGATGGGTCTCAATTTCGAATTCCCTAGGGAGGCTCAAAGCTGGAATTGATGGTACTCACGCGTAGAGCTTGTCGCGTTCTCCGTTTTGCCTCAAACGGCTCTTAAAAACTCCAAGAATTGAAGAAGTTACCAAGATCCAAAGTTTGCTACTCAAATGGAAGGAAGAAAGAAATGGAAATGAGAGAAAGAAGAAAGCTACAGGAGAGAGGAATGAGAATGAAGAAATGTGGTCTCTAGACCACTTTGTGGTTAATGGTGGGTCCCACCAATTTCCAATTTTCTTTTCCACTTTCTTTTTGCTCCAATTTTACACCACATACACACACAAGTGTACCACATGCAAATACTACTTAATCCACATAATTTAAAATGTACACAATGCAAATGGACCTAACCACAATCCTGTACACATAACGTGAAGAGACGAAAATGCCCTTGCGGCGACAAAATTCCGGAAAAAAGAAAAAATGCAGAAAATCGGAAACATTACAATAACGCTTCTACTACCATCATCCTCGAATGACAACTCAAACTCTCGTCTCACCGACTCAACAGGCTACCGCCAAGCGATTTCTCCTCGAGCATTCCTAGGATAATACCATCATAATAAGAGAGTATGCCTCACTCTCGATACTCCCCATAATAACCACTACATACCACTAGGATAGAACCCTTGCATTGTAATGCCATACCGACAGATCCCAAAGAAAATGAATGAGCACAAAAACCAGAATGCTCAACACCCAACTGTTTCCTTAAAACCATCTACAACACAATCAGTCATCAACACTTAATCGGCTTTTCTGACTACCTGTGTTACCTGGACTCGTCGTTTCCGGCGAGGGTGTCCGTGTCAACACGACATGACACCGACATGGACTCGGGATATGCGTCCGACCTTGTATGGTCAAGATCGGACACGGCCGTTGAAGAAAACCCTTGTTTCAGTGGTCGAAAATTATGGTCGGAAATTTTTGGTTTCATCGCATTTTCAGGAAGAGGTTTTGGAAAAGACGAGGGTTCTTCACGCGTTGGTTTTGCATAGAAACCTACCCTATTTGGAGCGTCCCACTCACGCGTAAACTTGACAGCCTGTCATTGTCGAGAAATGTAATAGAGTGTGTGTATATATATATATGGTAGTATATATATATGATTGTAGTATAAATATCTATATATATATAATCATTTAGTGGGTTACCAGTTGTAACCCACTAACCATGTACATGTTGACCGACATAAAAAAAAAACAGGTGTAATTTTACATTTTTGACCTTATAATTTATGATGGAAAAGATTGGGTAGGATTCAGGATTTCTGTTCTTTCTTCCTCTTGTGTGTGACTGTGTGTATACATATATATGAGTTTTTTTTTTTTTTTTTGACAAGAATAACCTAATTTATTACTCTTCTTATATTTGTAAGTTAATACAATTATGTAATTTTGTACTCATGAAAAATCTTTTCCCCGGTTTTATTTTATTTTTTGTTTTTCCCTCTATGTTTTTTTCAGAGTTCATATTGCCGACCAGCAGTGCAAGAAACACTGTGAGATCACCATCGCCCAGGGAGCATTGTAAGAGGGATTCATTGGATTCGGCCGGACTCAATATTTTAATTCTGACTTCTCACCGGAATCCGTGGATTCCGACCGGAATCATTCTTATTAAACATGGAGTAGTAAAATAAACTATGAGAAATTTGAGTTCCATTGATTCCAATTCGAATCCATGATTAATTTAGTTTGATTTTGAAATTATTGAGTTCATAAAATTACAACAATGAAAAAAAAAAAAAAAAAAAAAAACTTTGAAGAGAAAAAAATTATGATTTAATTGACTAAAGGGAAATAGGAATGTAACTTTTTTTTTTTTAAGAAAAAAGGAAATTATAGGAATTTGAAGAGTAAAAGAAGGAAAAAAAAAAAAAAAGGAAATAAGAAATAATTTTAGTAAATGAAGATTTTAGATATAAAGGACCATAAGTAAAAGATCAAATTATGATTTAATTGACGAAAGGGAAATAGGAATGTAACTTTTTTTTTTTTAAGAAAAAAGGAAATTATAGGAAATTGAAGAGTAAAAGAAAGGAAAAAACAAAAAAAAAAGAAAAAGGAAAAAAGAAATAATTTTAGTAAATGAAGATTTTAGATATAAAGGACAATAATTAAAAGATCAAATTATGATTTAATTGACCAAAGGGAAATAGGAATGTAACCTTTTTTTTTTTTTAAGAAAAAAGGAAATTATAGGAATTTGAAGTGTAAAAGAAGAGGAAGAAAAAAAAGGAAATAAGAAATAATTTTAGTAAATGAAGATTTTAGATATAAAGGACAATAATTAAAAGAACAAATTATGATTTAATTGACGAAAGGGAAATAGGAATGTGACACTTTTTTTTTAAGAAAAAAGGAAATTATAGGGATTTGAAGAGTAAAAGAAGGGGAAAAAAAAAAAAAGGAAATAAGAAATAATTTTAGTAAATGAAGATTTTAGATATAAAGGACAATAATTAAAAGATCAGACTTATTTGCTTTGACTTTTCAAAATGGATGACTAATATAGGAAATCTAAAAATAATATTGTCTAAAATAATAAAAGGTTTTTCACATAATTAAATCTCATAAATCCATTAAAAAGGGTAAATAAATACTTAAGCATTTTTTTATATAACTTTCATATAAAAAATATTGAAAGTAAACTAATTTCACATTAATTACTAATCATGTTTGAGGTTTATAAATATTCTAAAAAATATTATATACATTATATTTAAATTAATTAACTTTTTATCCCATATTTAAAGCTCGTATCTTACACACTCACTTATTGCTAAGAAAATTATATAATTTTCTTATTACTCATTAATCATGTTTAAGGGTATAAATATCTTGCAAAAAAATTTAAATTTATATTACTTAAGTTTCTTTTCTATTTAAATCTCACATACCCATTTATTAGTAAGATAATTATATAAATAATTACACATTAAATTATTTATTTTGTTTACAAAAATATTAGAATAAAATTAAGTATTTAACTAAAAAAAAGCTTATATTTAAGTATTTAACTATATAATTCACATTGAATTATATTTGTCCTAATTAAACACATTGAATTAAGGAAGCTTTGGAAAAAAAATTAAAAAATTAAGGAGGTTATAATAGTATAGTAATCCTACATGACTATATAATTAAGGATAATGATAGATGGGCCGATAATTTTGGCAGAATATACATGGCAATCCAGGTAAGCAATTTTAACAATTAAAAAAAGGAAAGAAAATAAAAGGGGAAACAATATATGCATCCGCACATTCATCTTTCCTAGGCTGTCAAATTCTAGGCTAAGTATCTGATAGTTATCAAATCTCTCCCTTTTTGTTTCGTGTCTTCAAACAATATTTCTTACCCTTTTGAAATTAAGAAGGCTACACTAATATAGTGATCCTATTACCTATATAACTATATAATTTAACACGTGTAATTAAAAATCTCACACTAATATAGTGATCTATATATAACTATATAATTAAACGCATTGAATTATGGAGGCTATATATACTAGTATAGTGATTCTAACACATGTAATTATATGATTTATATCTATATAATTATATAATTTAACACATGTAATTATATGATTTATATAATCAAACACATTGAATTAAGGAGGCTATACTATTAGTATAGTGATCCTGTATAACTATATAATTAAACACATTGAATTAAGGAGGCTATATATATATATATAATGATCTATCCTATATAACTATGTAATTAAATAAGGCTTAATTTAATTACTAATTAATTATAATTTAAGTTGTTAATTACATGAATGTAGTTACTTTCATAAGAACTAGTAATTCAATACGAACTAGTAGTTCCATAGCAACTAATTACAACCTTGGGTAGTCACATCATCAAATTGGAGGCTGAGAAGATTTTTTTTGCATACAATGATACAAGTTATGTACAAGTGTACAACTGACAAGGTTTTATATATTGCAAAAAATAACATATTGGAGGCGGGAGTTTCTTTTGCATTTAATGCATACAAGACAAGGGTTTGAAAAGCTGAAATCCAATGTATATGTGGCTGTGGCCCGTGGGTTTGGTGGAGTGCATGGAGATTGGAAACGATGGAGTGTTAGACTCATTATACTCTACCAAACTCTTATTTCTCGGACACCACATCTCTCTTATTTGCCGAAAGTCAGATAGACATTGAGCTTCAACAATAATCTCATCTGCAAATACTCATCTGCAAATACGGAAGAAGAACATGTATATACTCAAATCAAATGGTTGGTTTTTTATTCCTCTAAGTATTTTTTGATTTCAACAATAATCTCATCTTCAAATAGGGAACAAAAACACGTTTATACTCAAATCAGTTGGCTGGTTTTTATTCTTCAAACTTTGAGCTTCAACAAAAATCTCATCTATAAATAGGGAACAAAAACGGCCTGAACAGGTATATACTCAAATCTATTGGCTGGTTTTTATTCCTCAAGTATTTTTTGATTTTAAGTTTCAAAGTAATGGCCGGACTGCCAAGTTGGTGCTGCTAAGTTGTTAACATACATCTTAAGTATTTCGTATTTTCTTATTCTCTTGTTGGTGCTGCTAAGTTGTTGCTCCCTTAATGCATCAGTAATCTACTAACAAATTAAAAATTACATTTAGTGTGTAGAATTATATTTATTGCTTATGTGTACTTTGTTTATTTTTTTTATTACTTTGTATACATTCTTTATTTTCTAGATGTTTGCCAAAGGGAAAGGGAAGGTAAACCTAAGACCATCAAAAGCTCAAAGAACTGAATTTGATGACAAACCACTATGGAATCATGTGACAGTTCTTAGCCTACCAACACGTGGAGGTGGAAATAGAAATTGGTGTTGCAATTATTGCAACAAAAAGGTTATAGGATCATATTCAAAAGTCAAGGGTCATTTATTGAAGATTCCTAATCAAGGGGTTGAAGCTTGCAAGTCTATAACCAATGATGTATTTGAAGCACTAAAGAAGGAACATGTGCAATCTGAAAGCAAAAGGGCATAACATGAATTGAATGTGAGAAAGAAAGAAGAGTATTTATCATTGCTTGAAGGATCATATTTATTGCAATGCAAAAAAAGAAAGGGATTAGCTCCAGGAGCTCTAGAAAATTCATTTAATGTAGCACAAAGAGATGAAGCAGATAAACAGGCTGCCCGCATGTTCTACTCATCTGCCATATCCTTCAACTTCGCAAGGTGCCCTCACTTCAGAAAATATTCACTCACATTAGCCAATAGCAAGTTATCTGGCTATACACCTCCAACATTCGACAGATTACGAACAACATTGCTGGCCCAAGAGAAGGCACATATTAATCGAAAGCTCCAACCGATAAAAGATAGCTGGAAAAAGAAAGGCATGTCCCTTTGTTCAGATGGGTGGTCAGATAGACAAAGGAGGCCACTAATAAATGTAATGGCTGCATCAGTAAGTGGTGCTATGTTCTTGAAGGCAGTCGATGCAAGTGGCAACATAAAAGATGTTGAGTATATAGCAAATTTGTTTATACTAGTGATCAAAGATGTGGGAGAACACAATGTTGTTCAGATCATTACTGATAATGGGAGTAACTTTAAGGCTGCTGGGGGTATAATTGAGAGCACATATCCTCACATCTTTTGGACTCCATGTGTTGTGCATTGCCTAAATTTGGCACTAAGAAGCATTTGTGAACCATCTGAAACCTCACCTCAATATACTCATTGTAAATGGATTATTGATTTGGTGAGTAGTGTTCAAAATATAAGAAATTTCATTGTTAACCATGGCATGGTACTCTCAATTTTCAATACTTACTCGGAATTGGGTTTATTAAGGGTAGCGGAAACAAGATTTGCATCAAGCATAATCATGGCAAAACGTTTGAAAGAAGTGAATGATGCACTTGAGAAGATGGTGATGGATCCAATTTGGAGAAAGCTTCTAAAAGGAGATGGAAAGTTAGCAATTGAAATCAAGGCTAGGGAAGTTAAAAAATGCATTGTGAGTGACAGTTGGTGGGATGACTTGGAATATCTCTTGGAATTTACTGAACCTATTGTTGATTTTTTGAGGTTAGCAGACACTGATGCCCCTGTTCTCCATTTGATTTATGATATGTGGGACACAATGATTGAGAAAGTTAAATTCAGAATATTTGCTCATGATAAACAAGATATGCTGACTGGCCAATCAAATTTCTTTGATGTCATTCACAATATATTGGAAACAAGATGGAATAAAAGTAACAATCCACTGCATTGTATGGCTCAATCATTGGTTCCTAAATACTACACTGAAGCTTGGATTAGAGGTGGAAGTGATGGAGTTCCACGGCTCTCACCACATGATGATCAAGAGGTCTCTTTGAATAGAAGTAAATGTTTCAAACAATTATTTAGCAATCAAGATGATCTTCGGAAAGTTTATATTGAATATGGAACTTTTTCAAGTGGATCCGGTTACTTCAATGAGCCTCATGTTATTGATGCAAAATTGTATGAGGAACTAATTTCATGGTGGGCAAATCATGGTTCTTCGACACCAATGTTACAAGCTTTAGCACTCAAACTTCTTTCACAGCCTGCATCATCATCTTGTTGTGAAAGAAATTGGAGTACATATTCTTTTATTCAAAGCATCAAAATAAATAGATTGACTACAAGTAGAGCTGAGGATTTGGTCTTTGTACATTGCAACATCCGTCTCATGTCAAGAAAGAAGAACGAATACAAAGAAGGGCCGACAAAGTATTGGGACTTATGTAAGTTCACTAACTAAGTTACTAACTACTTTTAAATTTTAATATCTTCAATAAACTTCTAAAAATATTCTTCTTTTGCTTAATGATTTTTTTTTTTTACATCAATGTTAATTTATTTTGTTTAATAGGTGGTGATAAGTTTGATATTGTTGGTAATACTCTTGGGGAACTTGCTGAACTTTCCATCAATGAGCCAGAGTTAGAGCTTATAACATTTGATGATGCATTTGAAGAAGGGCAAGAGGCTGCCTTAGGGGCTGAAGTTGAACCACTTGAAGAATTCCAACAAGGAATGATGGATTGAAGAAAAAGAAATGAATCAGTTCAAAGATAAAAGAACCATACCTTGGCTTTTGAGTTTTGATTTTTGTTTTTCTAGTTTAATTTTTTGAGTTGTTGAACTTAAATGTTGTCTTGTTTCCAAGTTGCCAACTTGTCTGTTACTCTGTTAGTAACTTAGTACTTGGTTCAGTGCTTGGTAATGCTGTAATAGTATACTTTGAATATGTCTATGACTTTATGATATAAATTATATAATTGTAGTTTAAACTTTGAACTTTTAAAGTCTTCAATTTACTCTTAACTTAAGTTCTTAACTTCTCAAGTCTTTAACAGGTGAAAGTGAGTGATATACTCATTTAGGCATTTAGGCTATTTAGCAACCAGCATGTATGCTTCTCTATCCTTATGCTTAACAATTTAGCATTTGTTTATTTTTTTTATTAAGTTCACAACATAAGATAAATTTCAATTTAATATTTCAGGTGCAAACTTGCAAAGTGCGGATTGTGCAAGTGTGATCAATGGTGATATACTGATATGTAATTGAAGGCTAAAGTCACTAAAGTATTATGGTGCAGTGCAACTGTACAAGTGCAAGTGTGGGAATTCAGTATTCACAGAATCACAATAAAGTGATAAACCAATAAGGTACTTATAAGTTATAATTATATAATTTATATCATACTAAATTACTAATATACTGTCATGTATCATGCATTCATGTATGGTTGTATGCCTAACTGCCTATATATATGTCTTTAAACTCTTTAATACTCCAATATACTATTTTCTATGCCGTGTCCAAGTACCCGTGTCCGAGTTTTGGACACTTTTATTCCGTGTCCCCGTGTCCTATAATTTAATAGATAGATGGATCCGACCTCTAGACACGTACCCGAGTCCGACACCCGTATCCGAGTCCGGGTAACATAGCTGACTACACACTCAGTCAAAGAAGCCTTACGCCTTAACGCCAACACCATCACTCTCATTCTTTACCGTTCCTCAAAACACTCTTGGCCCTGACAAAAGTCAAATGGGGCTACCAGCTAAACCTACGAGGTCACCCTTATCCCAAACATTCCAATCGTCAGTCCATAGCTTTCAAATTCAACAAACACTACTTCCTCCTACCCCAGACGCAACATGAAATTCAACTCCAGTCCATAACTTTCAAATTCTAATACATAATCCATTTAGCAACACAATACCTACCATCAATCATTTTATCCACAACAACCAAACATACCAATGACCACATACTACCCACCTTATCGTGCAATCCTATACTACAAAACTAAACTAACCATTATACTCTACCTCGAGACTCTCTAGACAATCGTGCCAACCCAGAACCCCATTCATCGACCGACCCATGCAATCGACCCACCAAAAATCGATTACCTGTAACACACTCCCATAACTTTTCGAAATGAAAAAAATCACCCATCAACCAACCGTAACCAACACACTTTCTTAGACCGCACCAGAACACTCACAGTACACATCTATAACCCATAGACTAAATTCGTGACTCAAACAACTTCTGTCATACCTACCATGACCAGTTCGAAAAGAACCTCTGCACCAAATTGTAACCACTAACCTCCTAAGGTAACACCTTTCTCCCAAGAAACCCTCACTCCGTACACCTGACCTTTCCGGTTGCAAAACCCATGCACTAACACATGAAACCCACATATCTCACCTGGACATTGCACTATGCCATACGCAATCATTCAAAAGCCGTGCCCCAAGCACTACGCTCTAAAAATAACGAGAAAACTGAAGCAACCCTGCACCGAATAGCTCGATCCACGAGCTAAAGACCTACATCATTTGTTCGAGAAGAACCGGCACCCAAACAACCCTAGAGCAACAGAGCTCCTCCCTTACTCAGGTCAAAACCTGTACAACCATCAATGCTGCAATAAGTACTCTACCGTACTAGCAACCACCCCATGCTCGACCGCATAAACACAGAAGAATATATATATATATATATATATACACACACACACACAAAATGAATGAAACCCACCATACCATACGAAACATGTTTGCACTTACCGTGCTCACTATATGCCATATTATCATTAAAACGAAACTGCACACACCGTGCCTACCACTTGTTATCACCACATTTCTTATACTTGTCATTTTATCATAATTAACATGCTTTCATATAACCTGTACACTTCATTTATATTTACGGGCATTTAAACACATAAGCATGTGAACACTTATCGAGAAAGCATGTCTTTCAAAACCGTGAACACATAAACATGTGATCACATAAGCAAATAAGCAAAGAAGTAAGTAAACAAGTAGGCATGTTTCTCAAAAATTTAAACACTTTAATACGTAGCACATAATCATGCAATTCAACTTCCGCATGCAATCCTAAGTAGGCCTTTACCCGTCGTCCTAATGGTATTCGAACCATAGCTCTGATACCAAATTTGTAACGACCCAAACCCGAGGGTCTGAATCGCTAACCGGGTCCTTATCCGAACCCGAGGTCAACTAAGGACATTACCGTTCTTTCCTATGTCAATGTATATAATATACATGTCGTCACAGGGTTTTAAAAAAAATAGCAATAGCAATAATAAAAAAATGAGATTATAGTTACGAAATATGTCAAAACAGTTCACTGACCCATCGAACCCTGTGGAGGAGCGTCGTCCACCACTTCCCTTCCATGTCCTGAAAAATGTTAATAATAAAGGGGTGAGCATAAGCTCAGTAGGAAGTGTCTAAGACACACTTCTTATGACCCCGTGAATCCACATATAAAATAGAAAATAAGAGAACGGGATCATACTATACCGGAAATGTATACCATAACCATAGCATCTAATATAAACACATATACCATCCAAGTCACAATCACGCCATGTATGCCAATAAAGTGCAATGCCATGCTCATATCACTCTTCATTTTTCGAAACATTTCCGTTTCAACATCCAAACCGTTAGTGTTATCCGACCCATAGCACCTCTATGGCGTCACGAGGAGAGGGTTGACTAACTATCCACGACCATAAGGCACCTCCAAGGTGTCGCATCCGGCCTAGTTAGCTCAACTATACTTCCCTCTAGACTACACTAACACCACGGACCACTAGGGGCCTCCTAGGCGTCCGATTTTCACAAACACTTTTCAAAACCTTTACCCAAAATCATTTCATTTGCTTTCAAAACATTTTTCCCATTTTCCTTTCCCAATGGATGCATTTATGCATCATGCTTCAATTCGTTAATTCAACCATACAACTTTCACTCGTACTTTGCAATTCGAATCTCTAAAATAGGTAATCATGTTTCCCTTTAACATACATACAACACATAAGTAACTTGCAAGAATTCAAGTTAATTAGGCATACAAATTACAAATTCCATTACACATAGACATGCTTCTCATAATATCATCAACACACATAGGCATAGATTTTCTAACACAACAATCATGTCATTCTCAAGGCAATCAATTTAAATAGAGCATGTTTTTCATACAGTTTTGATTATTTCACATGTTCATATATTTCATCTACACAAATCAAGTTACTTCAAAATACAATCAACACTATTTAGCATGTTAGAACATAATTCAAGTAAAATTAACTCACTAAGGTGCAAGATTGTATGGATTAGAGACCCCTACCTCAAAAGTAGCCAAAATACATTTCCGGCCAGAAAAGTCAACGCCGGTCAACGTGGTCAACAAAAGTCAACGCCGGTCAACGGTGGCAGAACAGAAAACTGTTCGGTGAGAACGTAGCCGTCGATGAGGTGATTCTACTATTCCAGAGGGTGAGCTTCGAAATCCAACTTTAAGTGGCCCAAAACCCCATCCAAAGCCTTAGATCCACAAATTTCAAAAATTCATAAAATAATCATCGCTCCTCTGAAAAATAAACCCTTTGACTATGTGATAGAGAACGATGAGAGGAACATTTTCCGTCAAGGAACCTAGACCCGAAACCCGACCGATTAGCCGAAACGTGGAAGAGAAAATTGAAGTTTCAAGAAAAAGAAAAATGAAAAGAAAATGAGAGGAGAGAGAGACCTGCGCGAGAAAGAGAGATTTGAGACCATTTGTAGTCGCTTTGCCCCTTTAAGATGGTGGTAGAACCCACCACTAAAAATTAAATTTTCTTTTTGTTTTATCTTTATTTCTTTTTACACCACCCACATACATATACACATTTAATTCACAATCACTTAAAACACATAAAATAAAATGAATATGATGCAAATGGACCCAACTAAAATCCCCTGATGCAACAACTCCGGTAGCGGGTCCCACACGAGACCGTCCGGCCTGAAAAAAATGAAAAATGCCGAAAATTGGAAACATCACAGTCTGCCATCAGCAAACTATAAATCCTTAGAGAAAAGAAAGGTCTACCTCAAAGAAAAGGAAGACAATGGAGGAAATTAAAAACATAATTATAATTCATGATTTAACCTTCACCTGTTCACCACCTGTAAAGACACGGAAAAAATCATCCAATAAAATCAGTGAAGCAATCCTACATGAGTGGCTTAGGAAGGCTCTTGTCATGGGAGATTTGAGTTGCGGTCTTTCTACAACAGATTAGTGGACACTGAGGAGACCTCCTTTCTAAGGAAGGTTATCTGGTGCATCAAAGCACCTTTAAAGGTGACTTTCTTTGGATGGACGGCAGTTCTAGCACCTTTAAAGGTGACTTTCTTTGGATGGACAACAGCTCTAGGGGGGATCCAGATAATGGACAACCTAAGATCTTTGTTAATTGGTGTTGCATGCTCAAGAAGGATAAAGAGTTGGTATCACCAACTCTTGCATTACTTAATAGCTAGGAACTGTTTGGCCATGCTTTATGCCATCTTTGGGATTTGTTAGTTCATGCTAGAATCCACAAAAGAGCTCGCTTGAGGTCTGGAGAGGTTGTTCAGTGGGATCCCAAATCAGAGGCGCTTGGAGAGTTGCCCCCTATGCTTGTGGTTGGATTTGTGGTGAGAGATGCATAGGAGGTCTTTGATGGACCGGGGTAGAGTCTATGTTAGGGGTGTTGAAGTGCTTTATGCTTAGTACTTCATTTTTTAGGGTTCAAAAGAGAAACTCTACATCTATGGAGAATCATTTAGACTTTTGTGGATAGGTTTGAGGAAAAAGTTTTTGTGTAGGTCAAAAATATCAGAAATTTTGCATCTGTGTCATCCTTGAAGAGGGTGATCCTAGAAGATCATATTCATGAATGTCCAAATGGATAGGATTAGTTAAAACAACAGCAATAGTAGCAACATATTGTTAGAAAGATCCTTAACTTAGTTATGATGAACCTTGACTCGCATAGATTAGCTAACATTAAAAAGAAAATTTCTCTAAGAATACCAATATATATATATATATATATATATATAGGAAAAAACTATATATATAGGAAAAAACTGAAGAAATGAATAGAAAAGTTGGGTGACATGTCTACCCTAACAATCTAAATTAATATCATGCAAAACCATTTTGTAATAAAGAGAATTAGTAGAAACACCCAATGGGTCACACCTGTAAAATGATAAGGTTACCTCCTTATCACCACCTTTGGCACCACATATGCCTTTCTTACGTTTCTGATGTGCATCACCAACCTAAAAGACAAAACATAGGCATTAGTTTCATTAACATTGATTCTCCTTTATCATGCAAAAACAAGCTCTATTGCTGCATGTTTACAGTTATAAGATCTAACACTAGGAGGGGATAAGAGTTTTGGGGAGAGATCAGGGTCAATCAGGGTTTTGATTGTTTAACGTTTGGCTTTAAGTAGACGATAGTAGTTAAGAAATTTTAGACTAGAAGTAAGAAGAGAATAAGAATAGGTAAAAGAAAAAAAGAAGGAAAAGGAAAAAAATTCGTCAAAATCTCCCAAAACGTAGCAAGCCATAATTCTCAATTCATCATTCACAGACTTCAAAACAGAGTATTACAATCCCTTCTACAGACTATAAAATCCTAACCCATAAAGCAAACTAATCTGAAAATTAATTAAATACTAAACACAGAAGCCTAAAATTATTTAACTTTATAAAAAAACGAGCAAACAAACAAACAAATTTTGTTGCTGCATTTGGCTGACTTACTTCAAGCGTACTTTATTTCTTTCATTCAATGCATTTCAGTAATTTCCTACACAATTTCATTTCATGCATTGTACAATACCTTTAATTTAAAATACATATATATATATATATATATATATATATATATATATATATATATATATATTAATTTTGTTGGATTTAAAAAGTAAGGGCGAGAAAAAAACAGAGCCATGACAAGAGGCACCAATTCCCAAAAAGAACGCGGATAATATCAGATGGAAGTACAGAACCTTAAAACCAAAGAAAGAGTCAAAATAGGCTATAAAATACTTCAATGGCAAACATCAAACAGCTAAATGTTCATAACCAAAATGAAAAAAACAAATTAAACCCAAAATAAATAAATAAGCAAAAAATGGGAATACCCAAAGCAGATCTAATGAAAAGTTATATACAGAGATGGTATCCCAAAACCCAAATCTCAAAAGTTCATATATGTGTGTGTGTGTGTGTGTGTGTGTGTGTGTGTGTGTGTTAGAGTAAGAGAGTTTCACCTCGATGGCAGGCTTTGTGTATATCCTATGGTACGTCGTACTGCGAAAAACTCTCGAGAACAACATTAGGCCTTGCATTTTCTGCAGCTAAATGTTCATAACCAAAATGAAAATTACAGATTAAACCCAAAATAAATATATAAACAAAAAATGGGTACCCAAAGCAGATCAGATGAAAAGTTATATACAGAGATGGTATCCGAATACCCAAATCTTAAAAGTAAGTTTATATATATATGTGTGTGTGTGTGTGTGTGAGAATAAGAGAGTTTCACCTCGATGGCAGGCTTTGTGTATATCCTATGGTATGTCGCACTGCGAAAAACTCTAGAGAACGTAGACATCAGACCCTGCATTTTCTGGCTCTCTCTCTCAAACCCAATCTAAAATTTTCTCTCAGAGGTCCCTCACTCTCTCTCTAAAACTCTCCCAAACTCTCTCTTAGAGGAAATTAATAAATCCCTTACTTTCTATTTCTAAAATATCCCCTCGCTCTCTCTCCTTTATCACTCACATTCTCTGTCTAAAACTTCCTCAGCTTTCTTTCAAGGTTCCATTCTCTGCGGAAACAAAATTTGCAACCAACAGAATTAAGAGAGAGACAAATTTGCCGTCAATTTCTACTTCACGCGTGTTCGCGTAACTTGTTTATCACTCACATTCTCTCTCCGTTGTCACTCCCATTCTCTCCATAAACTTTCTCTGCTCTGTCTCCTTTACGGACGGTTCCGTTCTCTGCAGAAACAAAAAGTGCAACCAACAGAATTAAAGAAAGAGAGACAAATTTGCTGTCCAATTAGTACTTCGCGTGTGTTCGCGTGACTTGTTTCCCTTTAGAGGGTTATGGGCCGAATAGCCTGATCAAGCCCAAGCTCAAAGTAGCCATGGGTTTGTTAGAGGAGGGAGATCCATGAGTTGAGAAGGGGATTTAAGAGTTTTGTATGGCTTCACTGCTGTAAGCTTTGATTTCCCACAGGCATCTATTCCTGATCAGGTACTTATTTGTCTATAGAACCCATGAGCTGTTGCTGTTTGATGAAATGTGCCATAGATGTTTTAGCATTTCAGCCCTCTTGCTCCTGATCAGGTAGTCGGTTGTCCCATAGAACCCATGAGCTATTGCAGTCTAATAAATTATGTCATAGATGTTTTAGCATTGTAGCCCTATTAAAGGTTTTCAATACTAGGTAGGCCAACTCCACCCACTGATTTGGGCTTGCATACAAAATAGTTTCTGCATATTTTGTTAAATTGATAAACTGGACCAGTATATTTGGACACTAATCAGGATGGATTGGATCAGCTGCAGCCTAAATGTATTTACTTGACCAATGGTCCACGTGATTTTCTAGACCAGAGCAGTTGATCTAGTGGGGGCATATTTTTATTTATACAATGGCATTGAGCTATATATGTTTAGGAGGGAGGATATGAAAAGAAATAGAGAGAAGAATAGAAAGTGGAGGAAGGGAAGTGGTTTTCATATCAAGTCTAAAATTAGATTCTCCTTTTGGGTTGGGAGTGGTTGTACCAATTTTTAGGTTCACTAATGAGAATTGTATAAATGTTATCCAGTGTTTTGAAATTTTCCTACAAAAATTTAAATTCAATTTTGGAATCTGAATTGATTTTTTGAATTGAAATTTGCAATTCAATTTCAATAAAATGAAGGGAAGTCACATTTTGCCCTTTTAATGGCAAGTTAATCATTTAAGTGGTCTAAGATCATTTAATAATTTTTAAGTTCAAGTGTATAAAACACCCCTAATATATACTATGTGTAGCGTTCTCACCCATATCTAAAAAAATGTATTAAAAATACTCCTACTCTTTTAAAATTAAGCAAATCGCACACAAAGCTCTGTGAAAATAAGACATAACAAACATGGATACAAATTGTTGTATAATGGTTAAAAAGGCCATGCTGGGGCCCAATCTGTGGGATACTTCTTTGGCAACATACTAACAAGTAAAACGGTCAACCAATTTATTATTATTTAAAATTTTTAATTTTGACTGTAATGAGGGGATATTACAAGGTAGGAGATTTGTCAGAATAATGGAAGCCATCAAGGTAGATTATCTTTTTAGATCAATCAATTGTCACAAGATTGGTGGTATTCGGATGTGTGGCGACTCATTTTAATGAGACTTATGTGAACCCCACACCTTATAAATCCAAGGGCAATCACTCAGCCCACTTCTTTGGTTGGACCCTTGGGTGTAGAAAACAGATTGTTGTCATAGTGGGCTTAATTGACAAACACGACTCTTAAACTAGGGTATATACATACATACATACATATATATATATATATATATATATATATATATATATATATATATATATTACTTTTTTTCAATTCCCCAATTGATCATACCTATAGTTGCAAATGTCTGAAGCTCTAAATTTAAAAGATGATCTTAAATTAATTTCAGTCAAACTAAAATGATAGTGGTTTTAAACGAAGGAAAATATTGATATAGCATTGGGGTTCACTGCAATATCAGGAGTTGCAGACATTTTTAAAAAATTATAAGAGTTCCTATTTTTGAGAAGAATATGTCTAAACTTTTGTCAACTAAAACTGAAGTACATGACCACCAAAAGGCTCTATCAATTACTGTAACAAATTTTGTATGTTCTGCTATTATTAGTTTTTAAAGGGTTGAAGTGGGATCCTGAAAACAACTAAAAAAAAAAAATGTAGAGGAAGGAAGAAGACAACAGCTAGAGACCAATCGAACTTTCTAAGTCAAGATTCTGCACATAAAAAATTACTATAAACTTCTGTATTCCAAATCCGTATGCCTTCTACAACTGTATTCACTTACCTCTGTATCCTAACTATATTTTTGGATCCACCAATTGGTAAGATATCAATACTCATGCAAATGCCATTGCCGAACGGTTGGGTTGGTACCTTTCCGTGTCTAGAAGCCCGTGTTCACCTTATTCCTTCATAATCACAATCATTAACTTCCGCGCCATAATCACAATCATTAACTTCCATATATTCATCATCCTGTCCCTGATCATCATTATTGGACGTGGTGCCAGATTTAGTTTCTTCCTCGTCAGGTTGTTGCCTGGTGACACTTCTGTCACAATGAGAGTCGGAGCGGTTTCGTTTTGCATCTGAAGCCAGCTGCAAAGATGTTTGGAGAGTGAAATAGAGAATTCAAATTACTCCATACTTACTATAAACTATAAAAAGTATGAACAATTCTACGCATATCAGCACTACACCCGTTTTTGGCTGTTTTATTCATTTGAATCAGCACTGCATATCCATTGGGTTCCTAAAACAGATTTTCAGGTTTTTGACTCGACAAACCCTAATAGGATCTATGCGGATTCTGTCTGAAATCAATCCACTTACTGGTCAATTTAATGGTTATATTACTAGTGTCAAATTCCTTATTGCAATGCTGGAATTCAAACATTGCACTTTCTGAAGCAAAGTATTTCTAAAACCATGAATTTGACAAAAAATTATGAAAACAAAAACCAAACGAAGAATCAACATACATCATCATCAAATAGAGTCTCCAATACATCATAGTTGCTTTTCGAACCCAATCTCTGTGAAGCATAACAAACAGGAATTAGAACAACATTAAAAAATAAATATGGGATGGATTCAAATAAAGATGTGATGGCAGTATTACGAAACAGGATTCATTCAAATGAATCCAAATGATTGGGATAAGGTTAAGTAAAATTCGTTAGTATGTATCGTTGATACTATATGCCTTAATGCTAAACTTGCAACGCTATATTATACCTAATTTTTCAGTTACTTACCTTCTTAGTAAACATGTTGCGGGTCGTTTCTGCAGCAGTTTGAGCAGGACCAGCATTCTTAGCTTCCAAAGCCTGTCTTTGTCTTTGTTTCTGATTTCATTATAAATTGTAGAAAGAGGAGGTAGGAGATTAAGTTAAGAAATAATTCATTCAAATCTCTTCATGTGTAGTGTTGAATCAAACTGGATTTTAAGTTAATAAATTCGAGTTCAAAACATATTTTATATAAATAATAAATTCAAAAAATATGTGAATGCATATCAAACATAATGTTTAAGGAACATTACCCAAAAAATAAAAAAATAAATTGTCATTGATACATAATTCTTTAAAGGAAAAAAAAAAATATCGCATTTATTTTCAGTTCCAATTTTGATACACACTATGAGAAATTGAATAATAGAATGTAACCATATAAGATTGTTCATGAACACTTGGCTCATAGCTTGTTCAGGGAAGAGAATGAGTTAAGCTAGATTTGGTTCTCAGTTCTCAGGCTCATTTGTTTTATAAGCCAAGCACATGATGACAACAACTCCTTTCATATGATCTGAACAGAACACCATGCATTGGAACAAATGACTATGAAAAGGCGAATAGGTGAAGTCAAGCCAATTAGCCCCGCAACTTTTGGCAGTGTGTCAATGTTCAAATGAAGCATCTAGCCAAAATTTCCAATACTTGAGAGAAGCAGTAAACTCCTTTCGTTCTTTATTCCACTAGAGTTCGAGAGTTTTTGGACAATGTACCAAAACCTTCAACTCTAGAACTTCTTTCCTCTTCAGCCCGCTTTTTACATTTTCTTTTCTTTGGGTTCCATTTCCTGCTCATCATTATAGGTGAAGTCCACTACAGACTTAAGATTTGATCCATATGCTGTTTATTACATTTTCTTCAGGATAACCAAGAGGTGCAAATCCAGACTCTCTTTCTCTCCACAGATTTTTTATTTGTTTTTGGCTGGACGGTGGACCATTTCTTTTCATTTTACTCTCTCATTGAAGCAAAACCTTTTCTACTGATTCTAGGTCGAAACTGGTGGACCATCAACTTGAGAACAATCATGGAAAGCAAACCAAGCTTAGCAGAGCCAGATCTTGGTTGAAAATTGTTGACCCAAGTTTGAACTAGGTCAGCCAATCTTGACTTGAGATTAAACCAAGATCAAATTCACCACCATTGAACTGAGCAAAGTTCAGACAGTCACTACTGGATTCGCCTCGATTTGTTTTGAGCCCTATGTCTAATATAATCAGAAAGGACATCCGTTTGTCTCTTTCTCTCCAGCGCAACTTTAAAAACATATATAATTCAAAGTTTTGGAAGTACTTCCAAGGGAGGATCAATGTCTCTTGGACTAGAGAATAAGGTGATGCAAGAAAAGAATATTCGCCAAAAAGGAAATCTCTAAGGAATAACCCAATAAAAGCTTCTCGAAACTTAAAGAAAATGATGAAGAAAAACCTATAATCAAGCGAGCTTCACCTTTGGTTCACGAAAAGAGGTTAGTATTACGAACCATAGCGTGCTTAGTTATGTCAGTTTATATTCTTTATTTTGTATTCACCAAGCTTCATCTATCAAGGTTATTATTGAAAATATGAATAAAGTCTAGAACAGGGACAGCTAACAATTTATTTATTTATTTCTGTTGATAATATTTTTTTTTGATAAGTAAAAAATAAATCAATTAATACTATTTATTTCTCTTGATAATGGATCTTTATTTACTTGCAAAAGGTTGGACCTACTTAATTCAGGGGCACACCCGAATCCACTTTATCTCCAAGTAACTCCTCTCTTTCATTTCTTTATCATTTATTTCAGAACTTTGAAAGCATCATACAAGTCGCACCACATAAAGAAAACGATGAATAATGACAAATGACCATGCACCTCTTCTCTTGATTTTGCAACAGCAGCAGCGGCAGCAGAAGCAAGTTCGCATGCAGCACGAAAATCACCTGAAGCCGCACTAAAATCCTTAATAGCAGCAACAGCTGCCGCTTCCTTGGCTGCTTGTTCCTGCAAAACCATAAGTTAAGCATACATTATATCTACCCGGATTAAGTACATTGCCAAAAAATTGTGCATTTCATGGAAAGATCTACGCAGATGAGTCAAGAAATATATCACCTGAAGATATTCTTCGTTCATTTCTTCCCCGATGACCTTTTTGTACCGACTCTTCTCCTCACTGTTAAGGTAGCCATTGACCTATGCCGCAAAAATTCAATAATGCAAACATGAAAATTCAGATGAGTTCATCAATGGAATATTGGTAAATCACAGTTGGCCGAACAAACTCTCAAACACAAAACAAGTTCAGAGAGCCAAGAGAACAAACACAATTGGGGAAAGTAGTGTTGCCCCCTTAGCCCCCATGGTTCCAGAAGTACCTTTTAATTTATCATCTTCCGTAGAATTATAAATTCATAATTAACACTACTTCACCACATTATAACTTCCTATAAAGTCCCTCGGCATGGCCACTTGAAACAAGTATTAGTAGCCGAGCTAAAAATATTGTTTTCCAATATTTTTTCAATAATTTAGGAGAATAATTATAAATAAGACTCCTTTAAAGGGAAAACTCTCAGAGATATTCTTTTAAAACTCTTACCCTCTGTCTAATATATTTGGATTGAAAAGAATGATAGATTTTTCATCTCCGCCGTATATCAACAGATTATGTTTTTGAGGGTCATCCACATAGTTGCAAAGATGTCAATTATCTCCAAAATCTCCAATGCTGTGAGATTTAGGATTTCACCTTTGAATGGGTTTCATGCTACTGCTGCTAATAAGCACATTCAATTAGTTTGGAATCTACCAGACTATATTTGACAAATGGCTCAGTGGTTCATGCCTTCCTGATGGCTTTCTCTCTGCTTGGTTCTCTCAAATTTGCTGGAGCTTTTACTGGAATGTGATTTCTGGTTCTGTGTTTAGTTTCATATTGCTCATACTGGGCAGAAATTTGATTTTCATCTGTTGTTGCTATGGCAGTTGTTTAGCTTTCTTTTCTTAATGCTGGTTTGAGCTCTAGTTTGGTGGTTGCACTCTCATAGGCTGTGGTTGTAAGTTTGTTTAGTTACTTTTGTTGTACTCTGTTGGCCTAGCTAGGCCTTGTTGATTCTTCAATAATATGTTTATAAAATTAGAACAATGGTAGCGGCATTTGATGCGCAGGTAATTTCATTAATGATGATAGTTAACATCCAGATGTTCTAGACAAAACAAAAAGGAAACTCTCTCATTCAAGTGCTCCAGGATAAGAGCCGGAAGTCATGCAAATGCAAGTTATGAATATTGTGTCACTGTAAACACTCAACCCATGACTCAACCAATTGCCACTCATTCATACAAAAATTTCATAGAATTAAAATTGAGCCTTCAATATTTCCATAAAAGAGGGAAAAAAAAATGGAAACAAGCTGGGACAAGGGCTTCGATGAACTAAGTTGTCTTTCATATTTATTCAGAATTGGACAAGAAAGCATATGTTCCAGGTGTTCACAATTGCTTGGAATATTGGTGGAGAACTTTGTTGGGTTGATAAGGAGAAGAAAGGACAACAGGTAGCAACTTTGATAAGACAAGTAATTTTTGTGTGGCTGATGTGGAGAAGAAAGGACAACAGGTAGCAACTTGGATCAGACAAGAGAGTAGAAAAAATTACAACCCAACAGAAGTATGTGGATGAATATTAAATGTAATGGCATAAAAGGATCCATGTCTAATGCCAAATAGTTAGAATGACCAAAAATAATGCACCAGCTTTCTTCTGGCAGGCAGGCCCCTGCTACAACTCTAAAGAGGAAAACAAAAAGAAGGTAGGATATGCACATAATGCAACGTTACATGAAAATTAGAGATAACAATATATGCTAATGCAAACAAGCCACACACCTCAGTATCATCAATATCAGAAAGGCTTTCTGTTTCATCAGCAGCACTACTCATATCCTTAAAATTATGGTACGTGGCAAAAGCACCATCAGTTGTGAACTCACCACCAATGACAGGCACTGAAACAGAACATAACATGCTCAGAATTACTCAGAATAAAAGTATAAGCCTCAAACCTTTATTAGGCATCTCTTTGTAAAATTAAAATAAACTTACAATCCACAAATTTTGGCTGGCTGTAGCAAACGGGTCAGTTATGCGGTGGTTCAGGTGTGCTAAAAGATAAAGGACTCAAAAAGATTCGGCTATTTGGGCTCCCTTTACACCTCTGGCGCCAGGCCCTCTTTGTTGAAGTAGGGGAGTTATGCGGTGGTTTTGTGTGTGCCGAAGCAGATGAAACGAGGGATGCGGAGAGCGTTCGAATCACGGTGAAACTGGGCTCTGACTGTCCGAAAGAAGTGTTCATTCATGATGATCGTCTTTGTTAGAGAGAATCAATCTGGGAGGAGATTTCACCAGAACTGGTGCCCACGACGGAAAGTCTTGAAGGAAGCCATGGGGCTTTCTTAATGAAGGAGGAAGAGTGGAACAAGATTCTTAGCAAAGGGGTGAAAGGAGATATTGAAATTCAAGAGTGGCTAAAGGAGAGAGCGTACCAGAGATCAGTGAAGTATGTGTGAGGAAGAAGAAGGGGAGGACACGCGCCGGAAATGAGGGTGAAAGAAGATAAGAGACCGACCGCGCGTGGCGCACTGAGATGTGACCGTTCAGAATTCAGATCGCGCTAAATCTGCTGGTCCCTCGGGAGTGTCACCCGCGTGCTGTAGGATTCAGCTAAAGCTGGGGTAGCACGCGGGATTGTGTGCGGGTCTGACCCATCTTATTGTGGACGTCATCGGCAAGAAAGGTTGGAGAGTAATAATGGGCGCAGAGACAGACCCGGGATTCTCGCTTTGTTACCGAAGCTGCTAGCCCACGTGATTTAAAGAGAAATTTCATGGGACTGAGGAATGAACTTAAGGTTGGACCGGAATGTGAGACTGGCCCATCATGCCTTGGACCTGACGAGGAAGGATGGAGAGACACAATGGGCTGAATCTTTCTGATCCATCTAGAAGAATGGGTGTCGAGGTTTACACACGAGGCAAAGGGAGAAGAGGGAGGCACAGGGAGGTTCAAGGAGCTACTCAGACAAAAGAGGGGGAGGAATGGGATTTAAAGTTTCATTCTTATTTTGATATACTGTAGTCAATAAAACAAACCTCTCTCCCACTCAGGGTTCTTAGTTGAGGTGAATTATAGATTTAAAGATAAATTTCTAATTTCCCCGCCCAAACGTACAGTCGAGAAAACTCCACTTCCTATGGACTGTCGAATTCTAATAATTTTCAGTCTACAGTTGCAAATCTTTGATCCGATGGAAAGAATGTTTAGTCTTTCAACCATATGTTGTATTATGACAAAGATAGTAAACCTAGGATGATTCCATTAAAAAATAATCGAAGTTTCTTCGATTCCAACAGTGATGAATGGTTGGTTAACCAATTCAGTAGTAGCATAAAGAACTCAAAGATCCAGAGAAAGAGAGAGAGAAACTGACTCTGAGTTTAGATGCAGAGTCGCTTGATTTCGAGACCATGGGGCTCTGTTCCTATTCTTGAGAGAGAGAGAGAGAGAGAGAGAGAGAGAGAGAGAGGAGTCGTCAGACGTGGCCGAAACGGAAAGGAGGATAAAAATCTGGTGCTCTTTATAGTCGGTGGGGAAAAGAAAAATGTGAGTCCCGCAGCGATTGTTTGGCACGTGGCAAAATCCTAACGGAAGATTTACTAATTACCATGTACTATCTTCTTGATCTTGGATCGCTCGATTTTTGTAGCGGTTAATTGTGAAAATCGAAAAGTTAACGGCAAAAGTCTGCAAAGACGGCACTCGTCCTCTATCAGTTGATCCGAGTCTGAACCTACCAACTGGTGCAACCCCGAGGATTGGAGGCTTAAACTGGATGTACGAAATCTTTAACCTTAATCTAATTCAATTTAAATTTTTTTTTTTGTTTTTTTTTTTTTTTTTAATTTTTTAAACTCCGATTGAATTTGGAGTTGTTATTCCCAATTAGAATTCGAGTTGCTATAAAAATAAATAAATAAATAATTTTAACTATTTTATAATTGAAATAACAAATGCATCAAAAGTTAATAAGTTAAAAACATCAAATAACTAAACACATCCAAATCATAATACATATTAAATATGTTGGGTTCATAAATTGAATTTGTCAAGTTTTATAATTTAGGACGGGTTGGAATTGAATTATGAATTTTCCGACAGCTGTCTACAATGTGTGAAAAGTAACATTTTAAAAGAATTCAAGAGAAGGAAAGTTAAGATGAAAAACCCAATAAAATGACTCCGCGTGACTTTTCAAAAAAAAAAAAAAAAACCTATAAAATGACTCCGCATGACTTATTACACGACACTACCAAGATTAAAAATATTTTTTCCGTCCCAAAATAAATGTCTACTTTAAAAACTATGACTCATCTTTAAAGTGAGTATCTATTATGAGACGGAGAGAATAATAATTTGTTGCCTAGTACAGTATACCCTTGCCGTATACAAAATAATCTTATATTAAATTAATGCACTCAAGCCGAACAAGAAAGATTGCAACAGCTAGTTACAGAATGTAAAAACAGGAATTAGCTTGTGCCTATTATATTACTACTTTCAAGAAAGTAGTTTGGAGAGCCCATTCTCTTTTATCACCCATCAACAATAAAGTCTGACAATCGACTAATATGTCAGTAACTTTACAACTGGAGTAGGCTTGCATGTGTGTAGTTGGGAAAAGGCTTTGATTTGAGAACTTTCCTTAAAATGTTGATAATCATTCGAAAGGAAGAGGAATATGAGCAAAAAGATCAGCTGTTTCTACCTTTCTTCATAATGTCATAGCCCCTGAAATTTGTCATCCTCAAATCACATGAAGAAGAAACACAGCCCTTAGCAAGGCTTGAAGGTTCTTTTCTAAATTATTCGCATTTCTTTCAGGGCCACAATTGTATCAAAAGAGTCCCAAAGTCTTTCAGCCGAATTCCATTACGTTTGAAACAAAGATATCTTGGCTGGAATTAATTGTGTCACTTTATGTTCGCGCGGTTTTTGTTCCCTACACCGGTCGATGGACTCTTCGCGGGCGTGCCAAAGTATTTGTACAAAATACCCAAAATATGTAATTGAACACCAGCCTATCCCTTTTTCCGATGGCTGACTCTCAGGCGATTGTGTGGGAGAGAGACTAGTAAGAACTCCCAGCAAGGTTCTTTTATGCCTTGTTTGTAGTAAGGACTTTTTAGAGTGTCTAAAGAAATGCAACGGCTGATGAATGTTTGAATGGATGGAATGGCCGAGTGAAGACAGGCGGCAAGAACTTAATCGATCGCCGGCCGAACGTGATGGCGAGAAATTAATCAATCGCCATCAGCCAAACACAATGGCAAGAATTTAATCGATCGCCACTGAAACGTGATAGCAAGAATTTAATCAATTGCCATCAGCCAAGTAATGACAATAATTCAATCAATTGTCACTACGATTCAATGGCAAGAATTTAATCAATTGCCATTGAATTGATAGCCTAACTAAAATTGCGTAATTAAAATTGGCATAATTGAAATTGAAAGAAAGTAAATGGCTGAATCGAAATAGTTGACAATGATCTAATCAATTGCCATTAAATTGAAATAAAGAAATTGATAGGAAAATGACGTAGAGTCAATTGAAAACATTTTTAGTTGAAATGCATGTTTTGTGGTGGTACTGGACGGATTGGAAATGGAATACAATACTTCTATTTATAGAAGTTCTATCTCAACTTATTTTCCTAATTAATTGCTAGAAAATCTCTTTGCTCCTTGATTTTCTTCACTTTATTACTCAAACTAAACCACGTTCCAGTATCTTTTGCGTCTCTTCTCTTCTTGTTTCAATAGGAAAGTCCTTGCTGAAATCTCTCCTTGATCCAGTCAAATGCAAGTTGTCGAATTGTTGCTGAAAAGTTGCTAAAGAAGTTACTGGAAAGTTGCTAATTTTTAGCAACTTCTTTCCTTATACTTGGTCACCGTTTCTTCCCTTAAATTGCCCAAAAGCCATTTATCGCTTTTATATTCATGACGCGGCTGCCTTTTGCATTTTTCCTTGTTCCATCCAACTAGAATTCCTATAAAATAGGAATTCAGTTGTCTGATTTCCTTAAAACTTTAGTCTTTCCTTTCCTGTTGATAACCCAACTTGAATAAAGTCAAATGTTTGTTGCTATATTTTAGCAACTGCCTTGTTAATGAAGTGGCTGAGTAACTTTCTCCAATACTTGCTCCTGATATTTCTTAACTGGCTGATTCCCTTGACGCCATGTTAAAAATACTTATCACCTTTTCATTGGTCCACGTCATCGCTGAGATGGCTGCCAAGTTTTGGTGCCAACAAATGCCCCCCAAATTTCAAATGTCTTATCGGCCACTCAAGCCGATTAGATTTTTGGAATTTTTATAACATGAAAGAAACTTGCAGCCAACGAGCTTCTAGACTTTATTTCTTCCGGACCACCTCTAAGTTGCTCTTTATTTTGCGTCAGCCAGGACTGGCCTATCCTAGTTCTTCTATTATTCCCACAAAGCTAGCTGATACTTCTCAAAATATTGGCCATTTATAAATCCATGATAGACTTCACCATCGAAGTTTCCCAACTCTACTAGTAAGGCATGATCATGATCGGCTAAGATCAGGTTGTTATGTAATGTTATTTGGGCCGATCTAACTGGCTTTTCTATTGAAAGAACAAAATTCTACCAGTTTGGAGCTTTTCTGATGGCTGACTCTCTTGAATTTTTAAACTCTCATGGAGCTTCTAAAAGTACGCCATCCCATGTTTTTGAATAGTCATTTTCTTTGATGACTTCAGCTATATCAGCCAAAAATACCAAGAATAATATTTCTTTTGTGGCCGATTTTTTATCTGCCGGGGTAAGCTTTTAGAATGCCAGCGGCTATGGCCTGTCTCGTCCTTGATTTTTTTATTTGGCACCTCAACAGCTGGCCGATGAAACATTATCTTCAGCCAAAATACCTTTCTGACTAACCTTTTAGAGTTAATATCAGCTAGACTTCTTTTCATTATAGCCGATATTGGTCGCCCCATTTTATTTTCTTCATGTAGCACTGCATCGGCCATGCAAAATTTTGCATTAATTGGCCGATTCATTTTCTTCCGCGAATTTCTTCTCCACTTAACCCTTTTTAATTTCCATCCCCGCTTTCTTTTCTTGAAATTCGGTTGAGAACGACAGGCTAAAAAAATTCTCTTAGCCAATGATGATTCTGGCTGAGGATTAGATACCACTCTCGGCCAAGTATTCTGGTAATCTAGCCGATTTAATTCTAAAATTCTTTTACCTTTCCATTCAGGGCAATAATCGTGTTGTATGAGAGCCTTGACATTCGGAATGGCTGATGGTGTACTCTCGGTAACCTTAGGCTGATTCCCTTCATCAACCTTCCTTTTGGGAGCCTGGCCGATCACATGACTACTTGGTATGAAAATATCATTGTCGACCTCCATGACTTCATCATCTGCTCCCTTTTTGGAAGATATGGTAGATGTTTGAGTGTCGGATGTGGCTGATTTTGGCTTTTTGTACATTGGTCGACCTATTCGCTTAAAGCCATTACCATATTCTTGCTTAATAGGATCAGCCAACTGAACCTTATCGACCGTCGTTGGCTGATTAAGATAATCAATGACCGGTCGATCTTGATTTACCACCAGCGGCTGATTATAATCCGGCTAACCTTCTGGCTGATTATAATTCAGCCAGCCTTCTGGCTTATCTTTGATCATTTTTTCAATGATCTCTATTAAAATTTTGTTTGAAGATTCGGCTTGGCCATTTGCTTGAGCATAGTATGGCGTAGAGGCTGACATATGAATATTCATGTTGTGGCCGAATTGTAGTACATCAGTTGCCCTAAATACTATTGCATTGTCTGAAACAAGTGTTTCTGGAATCCCAAATCTGTGGATAATGTTTTGTTCCATGAAATTAATCACTGTTTGCTGATCAACCGCTTTGCAAGCCTTGGCCTCAACCCATTTAGTAAAATAATATGTGGCAACAATCACCCAGTGATGGCCTTCGCTTGATGGTGGATTAATTTTACCAATAAGGTCAAGGCCCCAACTTCTGAATGGCCAAAGTTTGATTATAGGCTGTAATTCTTTTGCTGGTACATTTTGAATCGGCCCGTGTCTTTGACAAGCTTGACAACCTTTTGAGTAATCTATGCAATCTTTTCTCATTCTCAGCCAATAATATCCATACCTGCGAATCAGCCATCTCATTTTAATCCCAGCTTGGTGAGCCCCACAGCTGCCCTCATGTACCTCGGCCATAACCTGAAGTGATTCCTCCTTACTTATGCATTGTAGTAGGAGCCCATCTTCTAACCCTTTTCTGTATAGATCCCCATCTAGAAGCACAAAGTTGATCGCTTTTCTTTTAATACTTCTATCAGCCTTGATGTTTGGATTTTG